AATACGTAACGACGAAGTACCTTTTAAAAGCACATAATTTGCTTTATAACAGGTTATTTACTATAAACGACAAAAGGGTAATGTTTTCACACGTGTCGAGTCATCATGGCCTCCCAAGATTTGCTGCTCGTCCAGGTATGTCTGAATCATCTGAATTAAAGGGGAGTTTATATTGTTTCCACCAAGGCCAATTTTTTCTTCAAAGAGTTTTTCCTCCAATTTCTCAAGATTATTTGCATCTGTTGGATCAAAATCATATGTCATTGTGTTTAGTAGTCAAATGGATTTTGAGAGTCTTAGAAAACACTGTCATTTAGTTCCAGATATTTAGAAGTCTGATTATTTGAATTACTTGGTCCCGATTTGTCTACGTCCATTTTATTAATTGTCATTTTTTCATTAAATTCATTTCAGAGATTTTTGAGAAGTTGTTGTCCTTGTGGTGTTATTTCTGGATACTTAGACATTTCTCCAAGGCATTGATGCGACTTTCCTAAGAAAAGTTGATTCCAATCATGTCATTTTCTTGGCAAGAAATTGAATAGTGTCCAAAAAGTTGGCATTGTAATTATCTATATTTTTGAATATCTTGCTGGATCTGGGTTGCATAGTCTAGAGGCAAAATTTTCCATGGAGCATCATCTTTTATGTCTGGCAAAATTTGAGGAGGAATTGTCTCGTTGATTTCTGCCATTTTTTTTTTTGAATTCACGGAACTCCTTTGGATAATACCTTTCCAATCTTTGTGAAGATTGAAAGGTTGGACTGCATACTCCTTAACATGAGAGAAATGCTCATATGAACCTTTATCTGTAAAATGACATAACATTGTCCTGAGAAGTTCTCAGGTCTTTGAATTTTAAAGAAAATGCTTCAAACATTTTTATCCAATGAGAAATAGGACAAAATAATTGAAAAAACTTTTTTGCTTCAGCATGTGCTTCTTGAAATGGATCATGTTTATTAAAACTTTGAAAACTAATTTATTTGAACCATTTAAGAGAGTCGCTGACATGGAAAGAGATTCCAATTTGATAAAGTTCCAATAAATATTACAAGAAGCAAAGCAATTCTTTTGAAAATCTTGAAATTGCTTGATGTGGAATTATATGGAACAATATGAAAAAATGATAGTCTGGATGAAATCCAAGACCACCAAATGTTTCAATTCTTGTATGTTTGATAATATTAGGTTGGTATTTCAACATGAGTTCTTTGGACCTGGAGTGGAGAGTTTTGTCTCGAATAAAGTTGTTGAGTTCTGGAGGGTTTGGATTATTTTGGGAAAGTAAAGAATAAGGAGGGCTCAACATGTAAGAAGAAAGTTTTTGCTTGGTGAGTAGGTTTGGAAGAAGGTTGGCTTTTCCTTTTATGCGTTTTACATCAAAATCAAAATTTAAGAACCATTCTACTTATCTGAGAATTTGGGATTTGTTTTTGTTTAAATGAGAGCATTTTTGGAAATGATGACATGTCCATTTCTACCAAAAACTTATGTCTGATGAGATGAAACTAGAATTTCTCAATACTACATTTAACTGCCAAAATCTCTTTGAAAGTGGAGTGGTAATGCTTTTCTGCTTCTGAGAACGATCCACTTTTGTATCTATATTTATTCCTCTTTTCATTTTTTTCCTCCAAGAATACTGTTGCTCAATATAGATCACTTGCATCTGTTTGAAGGATTTTTTTTTTCCTTTCAGTAGGGATGGCTAGGGCTGGGGCTGGAAGTTCTTGGACCTTCTGTTTAATTTTTGAACTGCTTTCGTTTGTTCTGAAGATATGAGATAGATGATCAACAAAGTCTACCATGTAGTTTACAATTCCAAGGAACAGTTGAATATCTTTTTTGGAGAGATTCGTATTTGCAAACTTTAATAATTCTTGTCTTACATGTGGCTACAATGAGTACTCACCATCTTTGATATGTAAACCAAAAAATCAATTTTAGAAACTCCAACAACCATTTTCTTCTGTTAAAGCATAACTCCAAATTGTTTCGTCGGATCAGCAAATTGTGATAACAGACGATGTGTATCTGCATCATTTTAGAGCAAGAGAATATCATCGATATATATATATATATCAATGCTGAGTCTAATATTGAATGATAAATTCTTGTTATAGCCTTCTAGAACAATGGCGGGGCTGTTTTAAGACCAAACGGCATAACTGTCCACTAGTAGTGATGGTTTGGGATACAAAATCCTATCTTGTATCTTTCTTCTTTGTTGATCCCCAATTGCCAAAATCCTGCTTTCAAATCAAATTTCGAAAATATCTTTGCTTCAGATATGTTGGCAAATAAACTCCGTTTGTTTGGAAGATGGAATTTGTCATCATGAGGAAGTAATTCAGAGGTTTATAGTCAATTACAAGTCTCATTTTTTCACGAACTTGTTCACTTCTTTTGTTGACATAAAAAACTTGGCATGCCCATTGAGAATTAGTTGGCTCAATTCGACTTTCAGCTTGCAATTGGTTTCACTCTTGTATGGCTAGTTCTAGGCTCATTCTAATATGGCTGGCTTTGGTAAGGTTAATGTCTATATTCTTTTTGAAGGGTAGGGTTATGAAAAAATCTAGACTTTTCTATTAGTAAGGAAATTTGTTTGAGAATCTGCACAACGTTTTGGATTATTAGGTTTGTTATGTCATCAAGTTTGGCTATGGAAAAGTTTGTGGTTGGGCTGTATGTATGGTAAAAAATAGGATTTATATCTGAGGCCATTTGAAAGAGGGATAACTCGCCTTGCCCATAATTGTTGAATGACCCCATAATTGTTGAATGACATCAAAGCCAATTACAATATATTTTCCTAGTAGAGATGAGCCAAACAACTTATGTTGCGCTCTGGAAAGAAATGAAGTGTCACTAGTTTATTGATCAACTCCGTTGAGAAATATTCATTAAAAAATGCCCTTACCGTTAGAGGGGCAAGGGGGCCCCATGACCCAATTTGAATTGGCTACCTTGGAAAATTTGCTGATGTGCCTTCCACATGTTTTTGGGAAGAATAGCTGGATTTAGAATTGAACAAGCTGTTCAGTGTCAAACAATCCTGTAGCTGTTATTGGCGGCCTTTCATATTTTCTTGGAAATATTTTGATTTCTATCATAGGAGCAAGTGGACTCGGGTTGATGACTTGCATTCCTTAGCATTCTTCTATACTATCATAATCACTAATGCTTTTGTCATCAGAGTCAAATTCCAGTACAAAAACAATTTCAGGGGATTGTTCTTCTTCCTCAGAAAACACTGATTCGAGATTTGCTTCATCATCCATCTTTGTTGCTACATAGATTTGGTGCAAGATTTTCCCTTTCTTTTGATGTGTGCAACTTTTTGCAAAATGACTTTTCTTGCTACAAATAAAACATTTGTCTCCTTACTTTTTGGAGAATTTTTTCTTGAAATATCTTTTCCTCAAAGGAAAAGATTTGAAAAATCTTTTATTTTGGAATTTGAACTTTCGTCTGTGGTACTTCTTCTTTCTTGGACAATCACAACTCTTATTGTCATGTCGACATTTGATTTTCAAATCTAGTTGATCACAAAGCCTTGTCAAGCTTCTGGCCTGTCGTACTGATATCCTTTAAAAACTCTTTTTGATTATAGAGTTTTTTCAAGGTTCTTTTGGCCCAATTATGGAGATCTTCAAATGAGGTAGTTGACAATGATTGTCCCTTTATCTCAATCATTCTGAGTGGTCTCATGACCAAGAGGCTGTGGTATGTATTCCAAGTAAGCTTGCTTAATGTTGGTATCATCCATTCTACTAATAAGATAGTATGGTAGCACTACGAAAGTGTTTGTCCAAATCTTTAGGATTATAGGAACAACATTTTAGCTTGAAAAGTACTTCCCTTGTAGTATCCTTCATATGATTTGTCTTTCCACAAAATTCTCAATATAATGATTCTATAAAAACATCAATTGTTGGGAATTTGAATATTGGATCTAGCGAATTCTCCAAGAGCATCATACCGTTCTTTGAGGAAACAGGTGATTCTTGCCAAAAATGATTTTATGATCGCAGAATGAGTAATATTTGGCTTTTGCAATTCTGCTGAGCACTATGCTTTCTTTTGTTGGAATCTCGATTTCCATGGACTTAGAGGAATATCATCTAAAGTAAACTCAGTTGTTGAAGTATTGTTTTGTGAATAATAATTATTCACAACATGAGTGTTAAAATTATCAGCAATGTCTTCATCAAGTACTTCTGGTTCATCAACAACATGATTTCCTTGTTGAGTTGGACTCGTTTGCAGTCTGTCAGCAATATAGAAAGGATCTTCTAGGGAATCATTCGAGGACTCCTTAAATTCAGAACCTTTTTGGTTTGTGATGGTTAAGACAGGGGGGTCTGTAAGAGGAAGGATTTTGAGCTTTTTGTACAAAAGTGGCAACAGGGTTTTTTTATCATCATTTGTGGCCATTTTCAAGGTTTGGTGGAGGTAGAGCTTGTGGATTTTGTGAAGGTAGAGTTTGTGGGTTTTGTGAGGATATCTATCTGGTTTTCTTTGAACTGCAAAGAGGAAGAGGTTTTAATTTCTTTTCCCATTCATCGGGAATGAAAAATGAAGTTGTAGATCCAAAAACTCCAGATGAATATATAGGTCTTGTAGTTTGTAAGAGATGAGAATATGCAGTTGGATAGTAGGGAGTAGAATGTGGGATCATAGCATTATTTTCAAGAGAAATAAGTTGATTTTTGAGATTTCTTATTTCTCTTGCTTGTTCTGCTATGGATAAACGGTTTTGTAAAAGATTCATGATTTCAGTATGGAGGGTTTTAATTTATTTTTTACAGGCTGCAAGAGGGGTTAACATGGTTTGCGCTTGTTGCTATAGAGTCCTTTCAATTCTTTGCTAACTTCAGTCAATTTTTCTCAATAGGGAATTCTGTTGAACTGCATTTTATGACTGGCAGTTGAAGATTGCTTCTATTGCTGAAAGCTAGTCAGCTGAACCATCTGCTTTTTCTAATTGTAGGATTCATGATTTTCCAGGCATGAGTGGTCTACTCTTTATCAAATGAGGTTTATGGAGGAAAATCATCTTGTGGAGATGGATGGAACATAGCTATAGGCATAGCTGTTCGGGGAGATGGAGGTAGACTATTATCCTTGTTCCATTTTTTATACATCTAGTTGCAATCATCATCATCATGCCATCCAATAGGAATGATAGGTTTATCATCTATAGGGGGTGGAGTATATTTGACATAATAGTCAAATTTTCCAGAGGGTTTTCCTAACAAATCAACTCCTGCAGACTTGCTTTCATAGGCTTCTCTCAATCTTTGTTGGCTACTCCTTTTCTTCTTTTTCTTTTTGAGAGGCTTATCTTCAAGTAAAGTTTCTTCATCCTTTATACATTTTGCACAAAAACATACATCCCAGAATATATGTCCTGAATCATTAGATCTGCAATAAATAGGTCTTCCATTTACATCAAACTCAAAGATTCGTATTTCTTCATTTGAGAAGGCAAACTGTGTAGAAAAACAGGAAGGCTTTTTTAGGTTGGAGATTCTTTTTGAAACATAATTTCAACTTCACCGTTTGACTTTTTTCTAAAATGATGGGTGGACCGGTAAAGAATCCTTCGACGCCTTGTGATGCTGCTCATAACTAGTAACCCAAGTTTTTGGAATTATTTAATGAGCTTCGGTCTAGGAATCTATCTAGAAACATATATACAGCTTGGCTGATCTATTTCCATTTGGATGAATAAAGCATCATCTATACCATGAGGAGCGGGAAAATCAAGAGAATGATTTTGAATTCTATAGGCCATCTGATAGTGAAGAGTTGCTCCATATGTGACCGCTTTTGGAACTACAGCAAGAATTTGAACCCATATTTTCAGGGTTGATAATAGCACTGGATCTGCTATTGGCAGGTTAAAATTCGAAAACATTGTAACAAGTATTGTTCCCGCATTTAATGTTGTTTCAACAGTGCCAATACAAGCGTGTTGATAATAAGCAAAACGTATATCCAATATGGCAATTCTAGAAACTGCTGGAAGTCCCTTTCTTCAATGGAGAGTAAGTGCGAATCTCACAGCTCCGAAATGGATGAGTAAAACCTTCAGATAACCATATTTTTGGAAGATGGGACTGTATATCCAAGGTGACAAACTGCTCATTTTCAGTAGCAGGTAGAAGATGTTGATCAAACTTTGAGACTTGACATATTCTTTGATTTGGGATTTTGATGGAGATATAAGGCTTTGGACGATTTTGGTAAAGGAGTCACGTGGCTTATTATAAGGGAGATATGGGTTAATAAGGGGTAGATCTGTAACTGCAACTTTCTCAGAATCAGGAAGATATGATATTTCATTAAGAGAGTCGATTTTAAAAGAATTAGATTTTCGAAGGGAGGTGGATAGAAATAGTATAGAAGAGCTAGGAATAACCCCAATCAGTAATAATAAGAACAAGATAAAAACATGACTCTGATACCAATAGAGTGGGGGTATGACAAGCTTTTTATGTCGAGCTAGAAGAATGGTAGGATACCAAGGAAGAAGAGGATTTAAGTCCCTTGTACAGATGAAATGTACATGGGTTGGTGTGCTTTTTTTTTTTTTTTTTTTTTTTTTAATACCAATAGAGTGGGGGTATGACAAGCTTTTTATGTCGAGCTAGAAGAATGGTAGGATACCAAGGAAGAAGAGGATTTAAGTCCCTTGTACAGATGAAATGTACATGGGTTGGTGTGCTTTTTTTTTTTTTTTTTTTGGTTATAAATACATGTGTACATATGACAACATTGCATTGGCTGGTTAAACTATGTTTTTTGTTTAACATCCGATTAAATCTTGCCACCTGTACATCTGTCAAAAAATTGTCAATCATTTCTGTATATGTAGCAAGGTTGAAGGAGATGTACCAGCAACACTAGGATCTGAAAGCAAACTAAATTTTGAATCTGATTTTTCTATTTTGGTCCTCTTGGATCTATAAGGACTGAGAACAGGTGAAGAAAATCTCCCATCGCTACTCTTCGTCTTGGCTTCAATTGTTATTAGACTAGACATATAAATTTTGTCCTTAATTGCAACAGAATTCGTGGAAACAAAAACAAAGTATGCGGGCTGGTTTCTAATGAAAAATATAGGTCATGTCGAATTTGAATGATTCTTTTGGCACCAAATCTAGCTCATTATGCGTGCATTGCTAGGGGGCACAATGGTGTTTGGTTGAGTTCAATTCGAAGGATGAGAAACTTGGCTCTATCGTCTAAAAATGCTTGGAGAAAATATTGTCGTTTCATTCCACCTTCTCCCACTTTGTTCGGTCCCAAACTTACACTTTCTTGATCGATAACCCGTTAGTTATTTCACAATGTTTGATAAAGAAATGTTGGAGAAATTGGAGGGATTGGCTCCCTCGGGAGCCTAGGTGATGGTGGGAGTGGGGATAGGTGATGAAGATGAAGAATATTTTTCATTATTTATTTATTTATTTATTTATTTCTTATTGTATTATTTAAATTATTTCGAGGTGGAAATTTGGAGTTAGCATTTTGCCCTTTATAGAAAATGGTCAAACGCTTAACTTTTGGTCAACTAATGAATTTTTAGATGGAACCGTTAGTTTGAGGCAAATTTTTGAAATGCTTGAGACGTCTTTCACAATTTTTTCTTCCTTTTTAGTACATTATTATTATTTTTGCTTGTTTAGCTACCCCTTAGTTTTTCGCTTAGCAGCTAAAAGGAGTTTCGAAGTTGAAGAAGCAAAAGACATCCAAGGAGATAACTCAAAAATCATTAAAGGAATTCAAAACTACTGAAGATTGCATCAGTCTCTCTTGCCAAATCTTTACTTCTGGGTGATACTGTATCTATCTAGTTTGTGATTTTGTAATCTTATGATGATTGACTAGTTGTATAGATGTTTGGATAATATTGAACCCTATGCCATGAGACTTGATACTGAGTCTATAATTTAACAATTAAATACAAAATGTTCATCATTTTAAAGAGTTAATGCTTAAAAAAAAGTTTTAAGAGACTCTTTATCCTAACTTTTTAAAATAGAGAGCGTGTTTGACTTTCCAAATTTAGAGATTTAGTCTCACTCTATATTCTTAATGAACAATGATTGCATATGATTGGTTATAAATTTTAATAATACACATCTTAAATTATTCAACTATATTTAAATTGATTGACATTGACGTATAAAAAAAATTATGTTAAAATAAAATATGAGAAGAAAATAATAAATGTTTTTTTCTTAAAGACCAAAATGAAGAGAATATTATTGGAGTGCATACAAAATTTTTTACTATATAAATTTAAAAACTCTCTCTAAATGAGTAAAAATGCTCATTTATAAATAAAGAGTCTTTTGAAGATGTTTTTAGAAGATATATAGATTATTCGAAAATTTAAATTAATGAAGATTTGTGTAATTTTAATGACTTTCTGAAATTGTCGTAAACCTTGTGATACGCATTCTTCAAAACTCGATAAAGGGGTTTTGAAATATTTCTATAAAGGGAGTGGTGTCTTTTTAAATTTTAATGTACCTCAGGAAGGTCTTGTAATTTGCCCCTAATTCTTTTATACTTTCGACCAACTCATTTCTGTTTTTGCTTGGTACCGTAGTGAGTGAGTGATCACATCTAAGAAAATATTTTATATCACTTCATTTTATAGTGAGTGAGTAATCACATCTAAGGAGAAAAATCGACTAAGCATTATGAGGGTCTAAAGAAATTAGATTTAATTCACGTTCATATTTTTCCCAATTTCAAGAATATACTTATAGATTAATTTATAAATAAATAAATTTTTAGAAATATTCTTTTTAGTGACAAGATCAAATCTACATCATGTTACTTATTTTAATCATAACATTTATTTCATGGTCAAAGTAATTATTTTTTCTTATAAGTATGAATAGGTAAAATATGAAAATATATGTAGAAATAAAAAAATTAATTACTTTTAGGCTTAGCAAAACATATAGTGTATAGTGACTCTAACTATTAAAATAAGTAATTTTTAGATATGATCAATACAAAATTTTTATTATAAAATTTACTTAATTACCATAAGTACATTTAATCAAACACGTATTAAATAAAATGACTAATTTAAAAATAAGATGTTCATGTTTCATAAATGTCATGAAAGTAGTATCTAATAATTGTAGTCTCTTCAACAAGATTTGATTAATTGAGTATAGAGATTGGATTATAATTCAAATCAGAACTGAATTAATACAAATATTTGAACGAATTATTCTAATTGCAATGGAATCGGGGATTGTTGTAGTTATTAAGACAACAAGATGTTGCCAATAGAACTCTTTCTTAAAAAAAAAAAAAAAAAAAAAAAGGGAATTAAGAGTTACCAAAAATGTTTCAATTTTATGCAGAAACAAGAACTTTGAATCCGAAAAATCCTCGACTGCGATTTCGTTTCCAGATAGGTCTTCAATTGTTTTCTACTAAACATTTTCTTGTTCATTAGATATTTGGGACAGTAAAGGTCGAGTTGGTAAGTGCCCACGGAGTTTGCTTTAGGATTTTCTAGAAACTATTTTCGTTTTCCCCGTGGAATTTAAATCAAGTTCACATTTTACCACTCATGAACTATAATAGGAAAATTTAGTCTTCCATTCTTTAATTGAAAAATCCAAGACCATATCTTATTTTATTAAAATAGGCAATTAAAATTAAAAACTTGTATACAAGTGTAGATTGACGTTGTGATTTTTCTTCTCCTTTAGCTTGCAAGCAAATTGAGAACTTAATCGATTGCAAATATTTATGTATTGAAGTTAATTTGGTCAGCTTATAATATTCTTCTTATCTTCGTGTATCAATGGATTTTCTTTTCCCTAACAAAGTGCATGTCTTTACAAGAGTAGGAGAGAAACCTAACTTAATATTGCTACAGGATTTAGAACCCGTTTGACATGATTTTTGAAAAGTAAAAAGGAGCTTTTGCGACTTAAAAGCATTTTTTGGAACTTTCAACTAATTTTATAGAAGTGCTTTTTCTATTTAGAATATCTTTTAGAGGAAATTGATCCAATATAACTTTTTTTAAGAGCGTTTTTGGAATATGACTGTAACACCCCCAAATTAAGATACCTAAATTTGGAAGTATTATCATTTAATTTATTCTTAAAATTATAAATGCGGAAAGACAATTAGATTTTTCTTTGCCGTAATAAATATCAAATACTTCATTCATGAAAATAAATTGTGCTTTATAAGACAATTAATTTAAATGTTAACATTAATTTCAAAATGTATTCAATATTAAAATATGTTAGTATTGAGTCCATGTCACCATAAGTCGTCATCTCGAATCATCTTGCCTTCATCATTTAAAAATGGGGAAAGATAACGTAGAATGAGCAAACGCTCACTAGACAAACTTTATGCATATGATATATGCTTATGATATACATATGAATTACTTTTAAGTACAAGCATGTCTTAATAGACACTGCTACATGTACATCACGCTTTACATAATGGATTACATAATTTCACACGTCACTATCATTTGCTAATTTAAAACACTGTCAACTTTTTCATTCAATCTTTTCTCTCCACATCATTTTATGTTATTCTTTATGTACAATTTTTATGTACAAATAGCATAATCATTTCTTAATATATATCTCATTTCTTTAAAAGCTTAACATTGACATCATGAGCTCACTTGATGTATCGTCTAGCCAATCAGAATCCAGAGGGCAATTATTAATTTGGAAACCGGTTGAGTCCTATCGACAGTATTGCCAAGCGGTTAACATTGTCATTAACACTATCATTGAACATCAGTCGGGTGCGCTAGTCCCCTATGTCTCATTTTTCACTCACACCTTTCATGATATAAATACACACTTATTAATAAAACATTCATTGAGTCATAAAATTTGGAAACATTTTATTCCTTGAAACTTTATGTATGCTTCTGGATGCATTAATGTGCATGAATATGTCATTAGAAACAATAATAACATAAAACGTAATAATCGAATATCAAGATAACATAGTAACAAATTTAGGTAATAGATTTATACATTTAATAATGTAATGTGCGCATGAAGACAAGAGGAAGTTTATGTACCTTGAGTCCTATCAATTTACTTTTCGATGGCAAGTGGACATGTTCTTAGACGCCTACGAAGTCAACGATCCAAAATCCTAATTCATTACCATTTACATAGAAAACTTTAACAAAATTCGCTCTTTGAATATGTGCTTATAATATTGCTATATTAAATTTAAATCTATATATAATATTATATGTTGATGTGAAATCCCCTATTAAAAATCACCATCAATCTAAATAGGTACCATCCGGTTCAATAACTGTTAAGATAGTATGATTGAACCCACATGGCAATAATGACTCCAAAACTCATAAACGATTGTATCAAACCACGAAAGCCAAGAAATTAAAGTTTAGAGTTTGATTCAAAAATATTGAACCAAGGAACTAACACAATCGCTGACAATATATTGACCTTATGATCAAAATATTCAGAAATCTCATCCAAATTGTTTGAACACCACAA